TTTATCTTAATCCAGTAATGACCCCCTTAAATCCGCCATAACTTATAAAGTTTAAAATGAAACACCGTGTTAACATAATTTAACAATAGGTTAATAGCAACACTGTGTTAATTAAAGGTAATTAATTACAGGTTTAAAAAATTGGTGTTAATTGTTTCTATCGTAAACAATTTTATTTCAATTGCATTAGTATATCTTTCATTTAGAGTCTCCTTATTTTCCTAGAGACAGCTGATTTAAATTCATGTTACCACAAATATCTCTTCTGTTTTCTTAATTTTGCTTTACTTGTTCTTATTACCCTTTGTCTTCCTGTGTCCTACAATGGTTTTACTATTTCCTTAACACATTTTTCTTTTCCGCCATTTTCATTTCAACAATTCTCACTTTTAAATTTCAACTTCTTTTACTTCATTCTTTTGACACGGATTTCTTTGACATTATATATTTTATATTCTTCTCTTACGTTTACATTTTGCTTGTTGTCTCCGTCTCCATTCAAAAATTTCTCAGGATTCTCTCATTTGATTCTTTCAAATCCCATAACCTTTATCTAATTCTTTTCACCAACAAAAATATTTAATTTAAAGAAAATATTTAAATTAAAGCATCAAAACTAAAAAATGTGATTTCTGAGTTCGCGAAATCCGTTATATGCTTTTAGTCTAACATGATTTGGTTTATTGTTAAAGAGATTCGTTGTAAGAAGATCATCACCTCCTAGTAGCCTACAACCGGAAATTAACAGCGACAAATAAGGCTTGGTATAATTAGAGATTCGACGAGTCCAGTTCAAATTAGGCTTCGTATTACAACCAGTGGTCAGTCCTTTTTGCAAACGTTCAGTTTTACAAATGTGTTATTTGTAATTTTAAAGAGACGAGATTTGGTGACAGTCACGACAGGATATAATTCACAGTATAGACTTAGCGATAGGCATTATTAAACAAAATAAGAAAAACATACTGTATATTTTTGAACTTAATTTATCCGCTTATCTAAAATAAAAATGATATCTTCTGTTAATTAAATTCTAGTGGTATTGTAAGTTTTCATTTTTTATTCTTTACATTTTCACGTACATTTCTAAATTTAAAACATAATATTTTTTTTCGTATAATGTTAATCACTATCCATATTAAATTGATCATATTTTGTTTCAACTCATTCTATATTATGCATCAGTGTACTTCAACTGTGATATAATTTATTAACTTATAACTAAAGTCCTTGTTGCTTATCGTCGTGAAATACATTTCATAACTGTTATCGGATTTTTGAAATCGAGAAGGGAAAATTATCCTATATATATATACACTGGATATCTAATACCACATGCCTGTGTTAGATAAGGTACATTATAAATTGAGCTCAATAACAAAAATCGATGTTCAGTTAGAAGAAGTAAAATAATACGCTTTAATAAATGGCGGATAAAGGATTATTTCTTATCATATATTTCCTGTTTACTCTTTGACACCTTTTAACTTTTCAATTAAAGCGAGAATTTCAGAAATATATTTTGATATATACGGATTCCTTGCAACGCGTCTCCTGAGCTTTAGAATAATAATTTTGAAAAACAGATTGACTGCGAAAGGAAACTGCGAATGAAGGTTCAATTGGCTTATTAATATTTGTTTCGTATGCTTCATGACAAATTGTGTATACAATAATTGTTCTTCATTCATTACCCAATTATTTACTGAGCCAATTCAATGTTGTTTAGTTTCCGTAATAATAAGAGAATCAGTTTAATCAAATTTACATTAGACTGACACAAGATCACTAATGTAGAACAAAGATTCAGAATCAAATTCACTAATAAGAATGATTTTTCAAATGCGCATTCCTATTATTAATCTGTGGTTGTGCTTTCTGTTCTTAAAGTCTACATTTATGTGTCTTTTAGAGAACTGTCGTTGGTAACGTAGTCTCGCAATGCATTCGATGATGTAATTCGGTCAATTCACACTATGTGCGACACATTATAGATTCTCTGCCAAACTAAGACAATAGTAACTATCTTTATGATAATGAGGTTTTCATGAGTTTTCTGATTTCAATTTTAGTTTGGTAAAAGGACAGGTCATTAGGTTATTCACTTTGTTCGGAAAGCAATGTCATCTTCGGATGTGAATAGTAAACACGTTGAAATGAATCACCATACAATTTATATATCAATAGTGAAATTAATATTATTAGTAATTTTCAATCCAATTATGAAAGTAGTTATATTTCTTACGGAAGAACTGAAACACATTCTCAGAGATATATCAAAGAGAAAATCCTTACCACTGGATGTGACATTGTTAGAAATCTATGTATTCGGATCTATGGATCATATACTTGAAGACTCTGGAATAGAGAAGAGATCATTTCAGCATTAACAATTATTTATTAATCCAGAATTGAAATTCTTTCAACGCTAATTGCATGAATATGTTTCACCGACGGCTTAAATTATTTTTAATAAGTATTATATTCTTAACAAATAAATTTTAAATGACTTCCATTTCAATTGATTTTAAACCTAAAATAAACCTACTTTTTTTTCAAAAAAAAAAAATAAAAAAACAAAATAAAAAAACTCTCAAACCTTTTTTTTTTTTTTTTCATTAAATCGTTATTTTTTTTCTTCACATTCTCACTTTTATTTAATACAAATGTTTACCGGTTTAGTTGGTTCCTCTATTTTGGTGACGTGATGAATTCGTTAGCTCAGCACTTTTTTCCTTCATATCTTTCTTTGCACTTCCTTTTGCTTTTGGGCAATCAACTCTATCCAGCTTGAGCTCAATGATGGTAGATGTGAGTCTCCGGTTTGTCGCCGAGTTCCGATGAGTTGAATTGTTTGTTGATTTCCTCTTATGTCAAGAAGTCTTTCATACAGTCCCACCGATCTTAACACCAACAAAAATCACTTGAGGCATGAGATTCTCCTTCGATATTTCAAATTCCTTATTTATCTAGTCCTTTTGCCACTTTGCGCGTTTTTCTGTTGTTCTCTCTGTTATTTATTAAGCTTACTTGAGTAGAGCACAAATAGAGAGGCTAATGTCTAGTCGTGGAAACAGCATTCAGAATCCTTTTCTTAACTAATGTTTTTTAGCATTAAACTCATCTAATTCTTATTAAAGATTTCTAAATATTTCGTTTATATTTATCTTGTTTCTTCTAACGACATTCTGCATATTTTCCTTGGTGGCCTTCGATGTATTTCTGCTTCAATATCAACACGATTTTTCTGTTTGTTTATTTTCTTATCCATCTTGATTTTCTTGTCTGTCCTCATAAAACCTTCACGATTTCTCATAAATATATAGTTATCTCTGCTTACTGTGGGAGAGAGACAAAATCTTTTTGGCACCACTGAGCCTCAAAGCCACTGAACTGTTTGATTGAGTGTTAGATGAAATTGCTAGGAATAACTCCATGCTTGGCGCCATTTTCAGCTTCATTATAATTTTCGCTAGAATTGCCTTCTCTCTAATTCCTTAATCATCCATCGATAAAGAATGTTTTTTAAACTGATATAGGACTATTTGTGCTCGGATTGTTTTGAATATGTGAATATATATTTCGGTTCGAACATCATACGAGCAAAGAGAAATTTCAGCTCACAAAATTAACATTTCCCATTTTGTTTATAATGCCTGGGAGTTTTATCATTTTTCTTCATTCTTTTCTTTTTTTTCTTCTATTCCATCAATACATTACATACTCCATTTTTAATCGCCCTCAGCTCTTCATTTGCTCTCTCTCTCTCTCTCTCTCTCTCTCTCTATATATATATATATATATATATATATATATATATATATATATATCCTCATTCGCTCTGTCAATAGTTTATTTATCCTCTATATTAAAATACAAATCTGTATTTCTATTTAGATCTTTATTTTTATTTTTAGCAACTTTTCCTATTTTCACCTATAAATTCCAGTCATACGTTGCTTCCCTCATTTTCCTAATATACTTTCATTTGTCTCATTTTGTTTGAGTCTTCATTTGATTCTTTCTCGGTTTCTGTATTTCATGCATGTTTGCTCTCCTGCTTTTCTATTCTTCTGCTTGTTTGCTCTCGGTCTTGTTTACCCACGTGGTTGTTAGCTCTACAGTTTATTTGCTCTCCTTTTTTTTATATTCTTTTGGTCTCCTTTTCTCCTACTTGTTTCCTATTCTGCTTCTTATTCTCCTACATTTTTAACTCTATTGATTGTTTTCGCTCCTGCTTGTTTACTCTACTGATTACCTGTTCATATGCATGTTTGCTCTCCTGGTTGTTTATTTGTCAGATTGTTTGATCTCGTACTTGTTTACTCCCTTGCTTGTTTGCACTAATGCTTGTTTACTATCCTGATTGATTGCACTACTCCTTGATTCCTCGCTTGATTGTTTGTTCTCCCGCTTCATTGGTTCTCCACTTTTGCTCTTCTGTTTGTTTTCTCTCAGGATTGTATTCTCCCCTAATTGTTTGCTCTCCTGATTGTTTGCTCTCCTTGTTGTTTGCTCGCCTTCTTATTTGTTATTTTGGTTGTTTGCTCTCCTTCTTATTTGCTCTCTTGATTGTTTGATCCCCTTCTCATTTGCTCCCCTTCTTATTGGCTCTCCTGTTTGTTTGCTATCCTGGTGGTTTGCTTTCCTTCTTATTTGCTCTCCTGATTGTTTGATCTCTTTTTCAATTTCTCTTCTTCTTATTTGCTCTCATGCTTGTTTGCTCTCCTTCTTATTGGCTCTCCTGGTTGTTTCATCTCATGGTTGCTTGCTCTCCTTCTTATTTGCTCTCCTTATTGTTTGATGCCCTTCTCGCTTGCTCTCCTTCTTATTGGCTCTCCTGTTTGTTTTCTCTCCTTCTTATTTGCTCTCCTGATTGTTTGATCCCCTTCTCATTTGCTCTCCTTCTTATTGGCTCTCCTAGTTGAGTGATCTCCTTCTTATTTGCTCTCCTTATTGTTTGATCCCCTTCTCATTTGCTCTCCTTCTTATTTGAACTCATGTTTGTTTGGTCTCCTTCTTATTGGCTCTCCTGGTTGCTTGCTCTCCTTCTTATTTGCTCTCCTGATAGTTTTATCCCATTCTCATTTGCTCTCCTTCTTATTTGCTTTCCTTATTGTTTGATCCCCTTCTCGTTTGTTCCCATGCTTGTTTGCTCTACTTATTGGCTCTCCTGTTTTTTGATCTCCTGGTTGTTTGCTCTCCTTCTTATTTGCTCTCCCGATTGTTTGTTCCCCTTCACATTTGCTGTCCTTCTTATTGGCTCTCCTAGTTGTTTGCTCTCCTTCTTATTTGCTCTCCTTATTGTTTGAACCCCTTCTCATTTGCTCTCCTTCTTATTTGCTCTCATGCTTGTTTGCTCTCCTTCTTATTGGCTCTCCTGATTGTCTGCTCTCCTTGTCGTTTGCTCTCTTTCTTATTTACTCTCCCGACCCTTTGCTCTCCTTATAGTTTTTTTGTTCTGTTTTTCGCTCTTCTGATTCCTTCTTCCCCTGACTGTTTGCTCTCCTTCTTATTTGCTCGCCAGATTTATTGCTCACTTGAGAGTTCGCCCTCCTGTTTTATTTGCTCGTGTGCTTCTTTGCATTATTGCTTCTTTAATCTCTTGCTTTCTTTTAATTTTTCTTTTGTTCGATTCTTCTGTTTCTTATTTTTCAACATTTCTCTTTCATTTTGGTCTGTTTTTTCCTTCTCTCCTTTCCTTCGCATTTTCTTTTTATTTCCGTTTACTTCTTTCACTGCCTTCTTTTTTTTTCTAATATTTGTTTGCTCCCATCTCGCGAATTTTATTCATCTCTATATCCACAACATTTCTTTGACCTTTCTCTCAATGTCACTCTTTTATTCAACGCTTTAAATTACGCTCTAACCCAGATAATTTACTCAATCTTTTGCTTTTCACGATATCTCGTTTCCATTTTCCGATTTGGACAGAGCTGACTATCTAAAGTCACCCTACTTAGATGACTCTCATTGCAACCGACCATGTAGAAAGGCCTAATCGCCATATCATAAAAATGGCCAATCCCCTTAAACCATTATAGCAATGTAGTTAATGTTATCCACGCCAAGCGTAAAAATATTTGGATTAAACATGGATCCCAATGATCTCAGCTTCAAAACTGGTATCGTTTTGAAATTGCAGATTTCTTCTTAAATTTTATTTTGTTTTTTTTCTAAATAATGAAAATTTTTAAAATTTTAAAATTTAAATTAATATATAATTACACTTTTTCATGATATATTCATTATATTTCTTTTTAAGTTTCATGTCTTTTTAGGACTTAAGCGATCATAGCTCTCCACCTCGCTCTATCCCTTGCTGCTCTCAACAAGTTCCTTCCCTCTTCTTCCTCCCCAAGGACACATCCACATGCTTACGTCGGCCAGTCAGTATGTTATGCGTTGTTTTCCCTTGTCTCACTTCCCTATGTTCGTCTCGTGGGTATCAGATTCTCCAAGCCTCCCTTCTTCATTATATGCCCCAGAAACTTCAGCTGACTTTTCCTTATATTAAGTAAAAGATTCCTTTTTGTGTGCAGCCTCTCTAAGATCTCATCGTTGCTCACACGCTCGGCCCATGATATCCTTAGTATCCTTCTGTAGAACAACGTCTCGAGTCTCCTCTTCATCTTTGAGGAAATCGTCCTACATTCGCTGTCCTAAATAAGGATAGATGTCACTTAAGATTTCAGCAATCTTTACCAAAGATATCCTCCTGTCGCGCAGTACTCTGCCCAGCTTTTGGAATGTGTCCTTGGCCAGGCCAATACGACTATGGATCTCAATGTCGCGTTCACCGTCATCTGTGAAGACGCTTCCCATTTATTTAAAATTCTGCGCTGCTTGATTCTACTGGTCACGACCTTCAGATGACATTTCGGGCTCATCCTCTTTCTGTCGTCCATGCATTATGTCTTCTTGTAGTTTATGCTTAGTCCCTTCTTCTCACTCTCCGTAGCTATCTCTTTTAGAAATATTTAAAAGTGTATTTCTTCCTTTCATTTATATTTTTTTCTTTTTTTTTTTTTCTATTCTTCTTTTTGGTCTGCTACTTTCTTTTCTTTTTTTCCTAGACACTAGGCACTATAACATTATATTTTCTTTTTCTTGCGACTTTCTTCCTTTCTTTGCGTCTTTATTTCCTTACATTCTCTTTTGCATTTGTTTCATTTTTAAACATCAAGATTCCATTATTTATTTGTTATTTCTTACTTTCCTTCTTTCTTTCATCTTTCTTTCTTTTATTACTTCTTCCCTTTCTTCATTCTTTCTTTCTTTTTCTGTTATGCTTCATTCTGTTTATTTTCTTTGTTGCTTTATTCTTATTTTACATTCCTTTTTTCAGATGTTTATTCCATTCTGTATTTTCTTTGCCTGGATTTCCTTTTATTACGATATATCATTCTCTCGTTTTCCGTCCGCTTACTGATTTATAAAATTTCATTCTTCCTATTTTCAGTTTTTCCGTTTAACATTTTTTTCTAAAGAATTCCTAAAAGAAATGCAAAAACTTCACTTTTTATCGACTTTTACATCACTCAATCGCAGAACCCTTTTCTCTTTAAGCTTCACTAATACAAAAAACTAGAAAGAAGAGAAAGCTTCAGTTTGATGTGAAATTTTGGAAATATGCAGAAAAAAATCCGACAATAACCATTGTTATAAGGTTCTAGCGACGGAAATGTTGCTGACATTTTTTCTTTATATTAATAATTAATTCAGAGGTGCAACATAATATACGGATCATGACATTTATTCCGTTGGTATTTATGACAGCGTTACCCTTGTCTGTATACATGACAACGAATTGCTTTGAAATAATTTGAAGTGAAAAAATAGGCCGTCTTCTATCTTATCTTGTTTATAGTTCATTGCGTATGAAAATGTCCGTGTTGGTCGAAGGTGATAATTTAACTGTTTATTTTCAGTCTCTTAACTTAATTCTCCCTTTGTAGATATTTTTTTCATTCTAATTCATTTTCCTTCTGATCCTCTCCTCTTTTCTTCTCCTTTATTCATTTCTCTTTTGAATATTTTTCATTTTTCTTTTTCTTTCTATGAATATTTTTTTAGGTTTTGATCATTGTTATTGTACGGTGGATCTGCTATTATTTCATTCTCTTGACTTAACTTCTTACATTTTTAGCCTTGTATCCATCATAATGATTCGTGTCTTACGCTTCTCTTTCTCCCTTTTTCCTGTTCCTCTCTCTATATATTTTTTTCTCTTTATCTTTCGATCTTTTCTCTTAATTCAACCTAAACTAAAAGGAATTTATATTCACTAACATTCACACCAAATTCTTCCAGAGCGATGTCCTTCCATTAAACTCCAGTTTGGCCTCTCGTTGTTATCACTCAAAATCTCAGCGTCTCGGGTGTTCTATTTCTAAATGAGGGATCAATGTTCGCACTCAACCCGATAAATAAGCCAAAATCAGATTCTTTTTTGAATTGTAAAAAATATATCTCTTCGAATATCATCTGCAAATACGAAATATGAATAACCCGTCGATGAATGGTAATTTTTCATTCTGAGGGTTAGAAGTGCTTCGGGGCAAGCTAAACAAATTTTATAATTTATAATTTCAAGAGTGCCAAAAATTAATTAAAAAAAAAAAAAACTTCGATTTAAAATTAAAGAAATTCATACTCTTTATGTCTCTCACGTTCAAAATTGTTCAAACGATCTTGTGAAGGATTACTTCTTCCAACAGATGTCACATTGCAAGATATATGCTCGCTGGCTCCATTTCTTGAATCGACAAGCTCAGTTATTTATATCTAGGACAGGTCATTCTAATTCTACAAAGTTAAATGTCCCTTATGTCATAGATATTCTTCATGTAAAGAGAATGTTTCATTCGGAAATATTTTCCCCAAGATCTACAATTTTCTGGAAATGACTCCCCTGTGGTTGTTTCATTGACCTCTTTAATTCAGACCTCTACATGTCAACGGTCAATGCCACTTATTTATCCTTATTAAATTGATAATCTCCACGTCAGGCCAATAGCACTTCCACACGTATCTTATGAGTTATTCATTTTTAACAGCGAAATTGTAAGCCTCTCCATCAACAGATTCTCCAGCCTTGTATTAGGTAAAATTCAAAGTTTTGCCCTCGTTCTCGAACTTAAATTTCTATCACTTTATTTTTTTATTGTTGCATCCACTACGTGTTTCTCTTTGTTAATCTTCATCTTTAATTATTTCTTCATCTTTTCTCTTTCATTATTTTTCCACTTTTATTCTCATTCATTTAGCTTTTTATTCTTCAATATTCATTCCAGATTTTACCTTATTTCCCTTCATCTTTCACTCTCTCTATCTTCCTCTCTCTTTCTCTATCTCTATCTCACTCTCGCTCTCATTTCGCCAGTTTATTTGATCGTTTTGCATTCAATCAATTTCATATGTATTCTTCTTGACAACTTTCCAATGATTTTGATCATTTCATTTTTTTCTGTGTCATTTCTCCTATGAAAAATCTTTTTTTTTCTTTTCTCAAAACATTTTATCTTTCATTTTCTTCATTTTCCCTGTTGAATTTTAATTTCCATTCATCTTGTACATACTGAATTCTATAATTCTTTTCTTTCATTCTTTCTAAGATCTTTCGAAATCACAGATTATTTTACATCAATTCGTAATTATTTTCATATGATCTTAAATTTTTGTCTGTACTCTTTTTTTCTTGTTTTCTTTAACTCCATCTTGAATTTAAATGAAATTAAGTTTTTCACACTTTTGTGAAAATCTTTAACCAAATCATTATGTCATTCTTCCAAACAAACTTAATCACTTATTTTATATAATTTTTTTTCTTTAACTATTTTTTTGAATATTTCATCTTTAGTGCATTATCTCTTTATCATATTCTTTAACTTATATTGACTTTAATGTTGGCGATTCTCTTTCACTTTTCATTTCAATTTTGTTTTCCTTTTTTGACTATTTTCCTATTTATTTTATTTCATTCTTCTTCCTTATTTTTCTTCCTTTCTCAAGCCATTGATCTTGCCTTTTCTTTAGCGCTGCTTTTCTGATATAATTTTATTTCATTCTTTCTTTATTTCTTTCTTGGATGCTTTATTAATTTCTTTCTTTTATTTCTTATTTCCTCATTACCATCCTTCACAAGTTTTCTTGTCTTTCCCTTCATTAGCATTTACACTTTTTCTTTTTAACGACTTTTATTTAATTACCACGCCCTCTAAATATTTCTTTCTTTCTTTCTTTCTTTCTTTTTTTATTTATAATTCATTTACTTACAACATTATTTCTTTTTTCCATTACTTGATTAGGCATTCCTTTCTTTCTCTCTTTCTAACTTCTTTTCCTGCTTTTACTTCATTAGCATTTGTCTTCTTTTTTGCTTTGTTTCTTTTCTCTTTCTTTCGTTAAACTGTCCTTTGTATATTTCTTACTTACAAATGAAAAGGACAGACATATTTAAAGGATGGGTTAACTTTCTTTGTGTCGTTCTTCGGTCAGCATCCTCATTTTCTCTACTCTCCTCCTCGTCGTCGCATTTCCTATTCAGGTTTTCATTTCCTCTTCTCCTTGATTTAGCGGTTTCGGATTTTTCTTCCGATACGCTTTCCCTCCTTGCTTACCTGTCGCTCAACGTCTCCATCCATCTTGTCTCTATTTCTCGAAGCAGATCCGGTGTTTTCTGGAGCAGCAAATTACGAGGTCAGCGAACACATCAGTGGGTATTATCGTTCAATACTTCCAAGTGTACTCATGTTGTGTAATGATGGACATCTTCCTTTCTGAGAATGTTTCGCCAGTTAACCTACCCGACAGTGATTGCTTCAACTACGTGTTTGCACTTTCCGTCTGCGTAACTGTCTACTTTATTCCGCCTTTAACGTGGGGTTTTCTCTTGTCCGTTCAATAATTCATTCTCTCACTCTATTTCTCTCTGGATTTACAGAATATCAGAGAATAATAGAAAAACGAATGCGTGTGTTTTATGGCTAAGGACAATCCAAGTAAACACATGTATTCTACAGCGAAAAATCTTATTGGCTTCTACTTTAATAAAACGATCGGTATATACGTGATCTCGTTAAATTTCACAGAATATGTTTTACAGAAACAGTTGGACGATTTGTCTTTATTATATCTATCCATGAGGGGTTTATGTAAAGTACACACAACTGTCAATACACTAGAAGTGTATTGACAGTTGTGTGTACTTTACATAAAAGTGCACATATAATTTTGTGAGTTCATACTTGCGTATGAATGTTTAAATATGCACATCCACACACACATATATAAACTTATTGTATATTTGGACACAACCATTCTTCTAAAAATGCTTCACTGAATCTGACAGACAAAGAGAAATATTTTATTAAAAAGTTCTGATGTTTGTGTGTGTATGTTTGTGTGTTGTAAGTACCTCAGAAAATGTTAATAAACCTATGTGTGTGTGTGTGTGTGTGTAAAAGTGGACATTGATGCTAACACAAAGGAGCGACAATCTGTTTCATGCTAAACGCAATTGACATGCCCACTTTAGCATGAAAATAACCATCGCCTGTGAGTATTGACTTCAATAACCAATTTTATATTTATATAAGCTCTATCCCTGATATTGAGCGCTTTAACACATGAATATATTTATCATGCATATATATGCGTATGTGTGTGTGCTTATATATATATATATATATATATATATATATATATATATATATATATATATATATATATATATATATATATGTGTGTGTGTGTGTATTCCGGTAGCAAAATTTCATTGAAATATATATATGATAAAAAGAAGAGAAAAACCAAAAGCTTTTAGCAAAATTTCATGGATATATATGTCGTTGAATGTGATAGAAAAGTATATTTTATTAATTAGAAATAAATAATTATATATATATATATATATATATATATATATATACACACACACATATATATATATATATATATATATATATATATATATATATATATATATATATATATATCTGACAAAACAGTTAATATGGCTAGTCAAAAATGATGCTTGGCAATAAACATTACTGAAATACAGTTTTTAACATTCTACTAATTTCCTAATTACTCAACCACCAAGAATGTGTGAGTCCTTTAGCGGTTAGACAAGGAACGGAAGAAATCTGTAGCCCGATTCCAAATTACTGCTGGGTTCGTTACTTTCATTTTCAAACAAAGTAACTTGGAAATAAAATCTGAACATATCTGTTGTACCACGTGTGTGTTCACGTGTGTTTAATGCGTAACAATTTGCAATATTTAGAAAAAAAAACATATATATTAATGACAAAAGATCAGTTCATTTTCTAGTAATTATGGATAGATTATCGACATTCAATAAGAAAATTGCAGTCTGTAATACTGACCGAATACGGCTTGGCAAGCCCGGACTGTTGACATGAATGTCAATGAATCCATCGCAATGTGGGATTTCTAGTCATTTTCTCGCCTAAAGACGGTGAAGTCAAAGTAATCTAAACGTCTCAAATATGTTGGGTGAAGGAGTGCCGTAAATCAGCCTACGGTAATCTCCCGGGAAGGGGATACGTTATGGCCAATCCCACGATTCAGGGCTGGATCACCATAGCCAACACCTTGATGCTTGACAGAGAAATTCTTCGAAAATATCTGAGCATGACAATCAGGCACGTTTCAGAGGGAACCCAATCTCAAGTGATGCTTTTTGCGTTGGTCACCAAGCAGTTATCACCGGATAATAGGTGGTGTCAAATATTGCCAGCCCCACAGTGTGTCGCTGGATTTCCTGCGTCTGATAGGAACAGGTCATTTTTAATGTTCCCAAACTTTCTGAAAGAAAAATGTGCTGTATGGTGTGTGACTTTAATTTAGTTCATCTAATAATTCAAAAAGGATCACAACGCGCGCTCACACACACATCATATATATATATATATATATATATATATATATATATATATATATATATATATATATAAAAGAGATAATCATACATTGAATCAATTAGCAATATTAATGCAATGAATGGCGAAATCTCTTCGCTAACAGACATAATATAATCATTAAACTACTAACAATCCACTGATTGAATGCTTATATTAATCTGTTAGTATTGTGAGACCGGAACTACGTACAAAATAAACTCTTCCAGGTCTATATTTAGTATGTGACACAACACTCTAGACTCTGACATAGAGTGACAGTGAGAGTCTAGTACGACTAATAGTGTTGGACACTAACTTATAATAAGCTCTGCTTACACTATCTCTGTAACCTGTTGTTAATATATCTTCCTTATTTCTAATCTGTGTTCCGTGTTTTACTTCTGTGGTCCCAACTTTGGCCCCACATCAGTGGCGACGAGGATTCGAGAAACGCACTCACGGCGAAACCTAAATACCTTACCAATCTCACATCTGGGTCGACGAAGAATTCTAGAAACGCATTCAGGTCGAAAACCGCAATACTTTGCCAGTCCCACAATAGTGGCGACAGAAAAGGTTCGAGAATTTCGTTCTCACCATATCAATAACGACAGTACTCGAAAAATACACAAACTCCACGCGTTCCCACAGCAGTGTTGAGCGTGAAATTAAGCTGGTATGAATACATTAGCGATTTAAAAGCTAAACACCCAGCGTCTACATATATTCCAATACCAAACGCCATTGACAAACTAGCGATTCGACATCTACGGAATATTAAAGTCTGTCTAAAATACGAGAACGATTTCTACACACCCACACACACAGAAAAAAAAAACAGTTGTTCGTAAAACAAACTAACAATACAAGAGCAAGTACTACCAGTGTACTCAAGTTTTCGAAAAAAAAGTATGGAAAAATTTTTTTATGTAACTGAGTTGAACTCGGGCATAAAATTATTCTCCCCTCAAATTCACTGAGGTGAGTTTTCTCTATTTTTGTACCTTTCTAAAAAAAAAAAAATAATACATAATTGTTGTAAAAATTATTCAGTTACGTTAAAATTAACGGAACCACGGAAAAAAAGCTAAACACACATAATTAGTTTAGTTTAACTACTGTCTGTCTATATTTTGTTTCTGTAAAAGAAAAAAAAAGGAACAAAAATCTATCCAAGAATTTTTTGTACCTCCACTTAGTACACGTGTTTCAAAGCAACAAAAAAGCGCTGTCATTTTTAAATATGGAAGATTTGCAAAAAGTAGTTGCCCAAATATTAAAACTAAATATGGATCAGCAACAAAAGTCAGAATAAAGACAACAACTATTTTTGGAATTACATAAACAACAAAGGGAATTCCAAAAAATTACGCCTCAGAATGCTGAACTACAACAGAAACAACTTAAAGAATTTCTCATAAATGCATTAAAAGGCTCTAACTCTGAAAAAGATATAATCTCTCAGAGTACAATCTACAATTCGATGGAAACTTTTGAATACGTACCAGAGAACGGCAAAAGTTTTTAGGCTTTTTAGAGGCGCTACGAAGATATTTTCAACGTAGACTGTGAACAATGGCCCAGTAAAAAAAAGGTACATCTACTATTGAGAAAACTGGGAACTACAGAACATAGTAGGTTCGTAGACTTCATACTACCCAAGAAAACGACTGACTTGGATTTTTCAGAGACGATTAAGCTCCTATCAGAATTATTCGGGCCTAACACAACCTTGTTTCACAAACGTTGGAAATGCCTGAACACAGTCAAAGACAACCAGCAAGATTTTCTAACGTTTGCAGCATCGGTAAACAAGCTATTATATGATTTTAAACTAGCCGAACTGACTGCCGATGATTTCAAGTGCTTAATTTTCGCACAAGGTCTAGTATCTGCAGAAGACGCCGAAGTCAGACGACGGGTATTGACCAAGCTTGAGAACGAACAAGGATTGACTCTCCAAAAACTGGCAGAGGACTGTTAAAGAGTAATATCTGTAAAATGTGCCTCAAACACTATCGAGGAATCAAGGGTGACTCAGATTAATAAAATCAGAAGTAAGTCTACCTCCTATTCCCCTCAAAAAGACAAAAGGCAAATCTCATGTCCTAAATTCCGCAGTAACCAGAACCCAAATAGGTTAAAGAAACCGCCTGGACCATGTTACCATTGTGCTAAATGGCATTGGATGAAATTCTGTCCAGTTAAGAACAAAAAATGTCGCGAAAATTGCAATAAAAGTGGGCATACTTTAACTTGGTGCTGGTACGTCAACAGAACGAGAAAACCCAAAAATAAAATCAGGCAAGCTCAATCTGACAATATTGTTGATAGGAATTTAAGAAAATATGCAACTGTATATATTTTCAATAAGTCCATTAAATTCTAGCTTGACTCGGGTTCCGATCTTTCAACCATTAACTGGCGTACTTGGCGAAAATTAAACAAGCCGACCTTATTAAAAACGGATAAAACAGCAAA